CTAGACGAGAGCCTCCCTTTCCTTGAGGAATTTTCCCTTTGTCACCATTCTTTTTAGATCCACTACCATTGTACCACTTGAAAGTGTCTCTGCTTTTGCTGGTGTAGAGCGCTTCTTCCTCACCCTTCAGTAAGACTCCTCCCATTTGCTTAGCCATAACTTCTTGATCAACCAACAAATTCTCAATCTCAACAAGAGATGGTTGTGTCAGCCATCCTTGTATAGCGGTAACGAACCCTCGATATTCGAGTCTCAAATCATGGATAATTATTCTCTTTATCTTGGTTTCCCCAATAGGAGTTGTTGGATCTAATTCTGAAATTTTGCGGCATATCGACTTCACCTTGTAAAAGTACTAGGCAATCGTCATGTCATGTTGCACCATCGATAGCAGCTCGTTCTCGAGAAGTTGTAGTCTTGTATCATTCTTCTTTGAAAAGAGTGTAACAAAAGTGTCCCATGCTTCCTTTGGTGTTTTGGCATCCCGAATGTGCTCCAACATTTCTTCTTCAATTGTGGTCTTTAAAGCAAACATTACTTTGCCTGCTTTAATTTTCCACTTTCGCAAGATGCCATTGGCATCTTCTACCACTGGTTGTGTAACTTCATCACCACCGACAACCTCCCAAAGGTCCTAAACTTGTAGTAAGACTCCATACATGTTGCCCATGTGTTGTAGTTTTTGTTGTTGAGCTTCTTGATTCCTCCAACTACTTGAAAGTCACCCATCGTGCTGGCAGGACTTCGATTATGCTGCACAAGCTTGACTAACAAACTTGCAGAGTACCAAACTCCTCATGACTCAAGATCACTCCACCAAGAACGATCCTTGATCGTCCCGCTCTGATACCAATTGTTGAGTAAAATTTAGAGTACACAACTCTAAACTTACTAATGTTGGTCCCAAACAAATTACTTGTATTATACCCACAATAAAAAATACTACAACACTTTTCAAAAACCATTCACAATTTGAAGAGAAATACAAACGCTCAAAAGAAAGCTCACAACTCACAACTCACACTCAAGACACCATACTCAAACTAAGAATACAAGGACTTAATTTTTTGCAGGATACCTAGCCCAAATGCAAGGGAGGGCATTTATAGTCCTCACCATGCAATCTACACCACATAAATATAAAATTAAGAAATAATTCTAACCACACATTATTACCACATTCTACACACTTCTTCTAAAAAATCTCTTTTCTATATCCTTTCTACAATTTTCTAAAAATAGCTTTCTTCCACATTTGTTGGGAAGCTTCTATTGTTTTGGACTAAGATAAAATGGTTTGGGCTTTTATTTTCCTTAGGCTGAAATCAAAATATTGGTTGGGTTCTGTAATAGGCTGAGGTTGATCTTCAACATCATAATCATACATTAGTACTATGATTAAATGTACGAAAAAGTTCAGAATAACTCGTAAGGAGATGATCTTAATTCTTAATTACATGTATAAATTCACCATGGGACTAGTAATTGCATGGAGGCTTCTTTAGTGATAATAGCAGTGCAGCGTATCATTATATAATGCCTTTATGCAAGGAAAGTTCTACTAAAAAACATGTTAGAGAAGGCCATAGATGCCCAAGAGGAAAGCAGCAGGCTTGCTGCCGAGGCCGTCCCCAACCTTCCTTTCTATGCCTCAAAAAAAATTTTAAAAAATTTATTTTTGTTAGATACATGTAGACGTAAAAATCTACATGTATGGAAGGAGGGACTGATCCCGTGAGGTTGAGGCCACTAGAGATCTACTATACCTGCACACGTAGAGAAACAAACGTGAAGCGATGGAAAACACCAGGGTGGTGTTTGCTGCAGGCACTCTGACGCTCAAGTCAGCAAAGCTGAAAGGCTGATTTAGTGAGGGCTAGGGAGTAGAGAGGTTATCAGAAGTCTAGTCAGGGACTGTGACTATGGATGTGGTGTGAAGTTCTCAAGCTAGAACTCCGGGGTCTGTAGGTGTAGTGTAATATGCCTTGTGAGAGGGCTGGCCTCTGTTTAAATAGTGACTATCTGGTCTCCCAATCTTGGTGGGATTGGGAGTTCTCATAGCGATCTGTTTCCTTCAGGGATATATCCTTTGATCCCCTTATCCTAGCATGAAAGGGAATCCAGGTATGACTCTGACACGGACCTTGGGGAAGTTGGGGTGGTAGTGGACTACTTTACCAGTGTTCGCATAGGAATGTGATCTGTAGATGACCATGGGCTCTAAATTCGTTCATAGATCCAGGAAGTGAATTAGGGCTAGGAGGCTTGTGTCCAAACGGTTTGGGCCGACTATACTTCATATCAAATGGGTCTAATCCGGTGAGTTTTGGATTGGGCCGCATCGAGATTGGGCCTGGTCTTTTCCTCATTGTTAGACCCGTTTTCCCATTTGGACCAAGGACGATTTTTAGCCGTAACAATACATATAAAAAGAAATTAAAAAAAAATCAATTATTCTAAGTACATATAACATTATTAGGTTGATTTATTTTTTATTATTAAGTATAAATTTATTCTTGTTGACAATTTTATATTACAAGTTTAGGATAGTAATTTTCCACATTTCAAAATTTGTATGCCACCTTTATGGCGCAGCATTCAATGGCAAATTCCAACTTGTTATTCCTCGTGCTAATGGTCATTCAGCTACCTTATGGGCTATTAATGGGCCATTCAACTATGAGAAGACCTCATGGGCTAGTGGGCTAAATATAGTTGGTATGAGAGAGTATCGAGGTGACGTAGAACGTCTAGCATATAAATTCATGGAGTGGACTGAACATTAGAAGTCCATGTGTAAAGTCCAAAGCTTCTAAATGAGCATACTCCATTCGAATGGCCATAACTTTTGATTCGGAAAGAGTTACGCGGCCCGTAAGATACAGTTGGAAAGCTTATTTCAAGCCCATCGACATGGCAACCAGTTTTAATTAATTTACCTTTGTTTCCTTTTGTTATTATGAGTCTTATTAGGGTTGGTTTTCACCCTATATAAACTTATTTTTCGTTTTGGATGTTATTCAATAAATTATTCAGTTTTTACTTCAGATTTTGCAGTTTAAGTTTTCTGGATTAAGACTCGTGTTATCAGTTCTAAAGATGTAGTTATGTACTAGCCTTGTTTATCACGCTAACTCACTGCGTCACGAGAGAAGTAATCTTTAGCACCCACTATTTTTGTCTTTAGTCTCAATCTTAAAGTTTAAGTGATGATAAAATTGGAATTCAAAAAAAAAAAAAATATTATTTTTCTTCTTCCATACTTTCACTTTAAAGCTTTATATTTGCATTTATCAAAATTAAATTTAAATCAATTAGAACTAATAAAGTACTAGACAAAATCAATCAAACCAAGTTGTGTTTTGTTTTAATGGGAATGAAACCATTTTTTTTTTTTTTAAATACTATTCGGTGTCATACTTTATTACTAATTTTGATTGATTTAAATTTTTTATAATTGCATATATAAAGCTTTGAAAAAAATATGGAAGAAGAAGTTTTTTTTTTTTTTTTTTTATTGCAATTATATGTCTACTTAAACTTGAAGATGGGGTTAAAGATAACAATATTGGTAAAAACCTAAAAAATACTCTAAAGTTTGTCCTTTTAACAACGAGAAACACGGAAGTTTCATAAATAACACAAACAACCCTAATATTTAAAAGTAATTTTTTTTTTCCTATAAGAGTTGTTTGTGTTATTTTTGAAATGTTAGGGATTGACTATTTGGTAAATCTTGGAGAGTTGTATGTAATCATCCACATTCCAAGAGAAAATCTTCTTTTCTTCTTGTTTATTGAAATAGTAGCATTGATATCGATCATTTATGCTTCTATTATGTGGTCTCTATATCAATTTCTTACTGTTACTTGGCAGATAAAAGCTTCAATATTATAATTATTAATAGCAAACAAGTGAAGTTTTTTTTTTTTTTTTTTTAATAGCTAATGTATTCGAACCAGCTTACAAACACCTCGATTAATCTTTGAGGGAGACTAATATAGTAACCCATTATCATAACTCTTCACTTAAATCACGGATGCTTAGATAGAAAATCGAGAAGACAAGTAAAGTTGAAACTTAAAAGGTTCATTAAAGCTGATAATTTTGGAGTATTAATATATTATTTCATGTTTCGGTTATGCCATGGAAAGATTTTTACCTACCCTTTTGGAACCGTGAATGTAACATCACATTCTGTTTAGATATAAAGTAAACAAAGTAAGGACGGGAAATATTTTTTGTGTTTCTTTCTTCTTAAGTGCATCACATCCTGTCCCTAAGTTTATTGTCGACAAGTAAACATGACAAAATCTATAAAGAAACCTTCAAAATTCTTCGTATCTTTCCCAATATATATAATTCTTGGTATCTTTCCAAATATATATAATCATACTTACATAAAACATATTAATATTGATGCACATTTTATAACGAAACAACTTATAGTAGAAGGAGACCTTCAGTTGAATATGGTCCTACTGGGGAGTTTCAAATGGTGGATATCAATTCCAAGTATATTGCTTTTAACAAGCCATGTGCAAAGTAGAAGAACAGTGATCATCTATATTCAAATATGTCACGGTCATAAATTATCTTTATGCTACCAAACTATAGTTTGTAATATATCATGATCTAACTAATGAAATCCTGCTTAAATTTGATTGGAATATTTCATTTCAACGTCATTTCAATAGTGGTCCCTTTCTATTGTATTTAGCAGTATGAAAAAGAAGACTAGAAACTTCTTGCCCAAGCCATACATGATGTTAATTATATATTATCAGAACCCTAAATCTTGTAAGCTGACCCTGGAGAAATGTGTTGGTACAATACAAGTTTCAAATCAAAGCAAACATAAATTTTTAGCATAACCTAATCACAACGATATATACAAGAGAAAAAATAAATAAATAAATAAATAAATAAATAAATTTGATGCATTTGAGAAAATCGGATGACTTGAGAAGATCATTAAACTGATTATATGAAGATTTCAATAGAGAAGCTAAATTTAACACAAAGCCATTGCATAAAAAGCCAGAAGACAAAACAACTGATATATTTAATGGCAAAATTAATAAAACAAAAAACATATGATATAATTTTCTTAGCAAAACAAAGGAAGATCTTCTAGTACCAAAACCTGAACTTGGGACTGATCAGTTACTGACCCTTTTTATAAAACCCAAGAAAATCAGCACAGCAGACGGACAAGAAGCTGTGAGCATATCAGCTTAATTATTGAATATAAAGCTGTGATCTTTGTTCCTGGGGACCCTGGCAATCCAGAGAAAGCATCCGGTGAATTCCCGTACAATCCATGCACTGATGAGAACCTATATATTCTTCATAACAATACGATGATAAAGAATTTACAGCATGTTGGTAAATTAAAGTGACAGGATCATATAAAAAAACAAAATGGTACAGCATTTTATTATGCACGACTTAACAGACTCAAACAACATGGGCAACATTTAAGAAACCAGATAGTCATGAAGCAAAATCATCTACATAAGCAGATTAGATTCGTCGTACTTGATAATTTTTCAAGGAAAACATTTTCCATTTAACCGGCAGGGCAGTGGGAAATATAACCACCAAAATCAGCCTTAAATATAACACAAGGTTTCTTCAGTTTAACCTTGTACTTGACCTCTCCTGTAACGTCATTGTTTTCGCGGAAAAACTTAACCTTGAAACCAATTTGAAGTTCCTTTTTAGTAACAAATTCACGCCAGCCCGCAGTAAGAACAGGCTTTTTATACCGTCCCCTACTACGAATAACCAGGCGAAAGGGCCAGGGTTTCCCTTGGTCATCCTCTACCATGAGCTCCTGAGCATTCTGGCCATCTTCAAAAGGAGGGAAAAAGCGGAGACTACGGGTTTTAACCGAAAGTCTCTTTCTAACATCGGTCTGTGTTAGCTTTTTTGAAAATATTTTCGTTTCCATTGCCGGCTAATCGGAAGATAGTATGGTGTGTTCGAGAGAAAGTGGAGAATATAGCAATTTATGATAAAAAGAGTAGAGGATCAAGGTTTCCATAAATCGCTCAAAAAGAGGCCCACATCAAGTTATAAATTGACAAATTTCTAAGATTCTAAAAAGATACACGATACTGACAGGTGAAAGATAGACAATGCAGGGAGCTGTCAAATCAAAGCATCATAGAACTAAACTAAATACGTAGATTTGCCAGTTTAACGTTTCATTTTCAACATTGTGATGATAGTTATACGTTAGTCTATTCAAGATTACACGTAGAATATTTGTTAATTTCTTATTTTTATTGCATTGGTCAAAAGTATGTTATTCAGTATAAGTGTTGAACTGAGATAAATCAATCGGATTAAAACAGTGTATATCTTAAATAATAATATGAAAATAGTATAGGCAACGATACCAAATATTATATATAACCATAGAAGAAGCAAGGCCTACTCATACATTTTTAACTTTGTATCAAAACCATCTTGCTCAAATGGCGAATCTCTCACTAACTCAAGCTCCTCATATCAACAACTCTACTCAAAAGACAATTGCTTTCATAACACCAATCAAGGAACTTTGTGACGTGCAAAATTAGAAGTATTACTTACAATATAATCTAACCATCTGAAGTACACCTCTAATCACACGAAATCTTGGTTAAGAAAAATGACATAGTTGAGGCAAACCTAGAATACTTAGCATGAAAGAAGCAAGATCAAAGAAACTATGGATGATCAGCTAATTGAATAAGAGCTTTACTTTATATGATCTTGGTCTTTGTCCTGTTTCTTGAGGATACATGTTACAAGAGATAGTTCTTCTTCATAGCTTATTGAGGAGTTATATACATAGATACTTTTTAGATGTCATCTGGGAATTACAATGTCATTCTAGAATTAAGTAAACTCTGGTATTTCTAAAAAAGATATATCCCTTTTCTCTAATTTTGTTTTTAATTTCGGAGATAAGAGAAAACATTTTCTGAAAACAAAAAGAAGGGCAGCTCTAGCTTAATTAACGTTTCCTCAAAATTATTAAGTGTTGATTTTACAAGAATATCATAAATGTCTTTTTAATATAATAAATAAATAAAGTCATGGTACCAACCAAATATTTTGCATTTAAAAATAATTTCATTTTAAAGGCTATGCTTGTATTAAGCAATGACTGGTAAGTTTAAGTGACGATCATATAATAAATAAAGAGTTTGCTACCAACCCTATACCATGTGTTTAAAATATACTATTTATCTAAAGAATAAATATGCACGTGTTTTTATTATTATTATTTGAACTCACTGCATTCTCTAATCACAAACACATATCATAGGTTAAATGAATATGCATAAGACAACGCACCAAAAGAAAAGATAGGGGATACTTCTCCAATCACCACCACATATAAAATGGTCGAAACAAAGATTGAAAGCATAAATCTTAAAACAAAGATAATCAAAACTCATCCATGAATGACCAAAGCCTATGAATTTGTTCATTTATGGCACTACTAATTGAGTAAGATAGTAATTTAAGCTGTACTGTTGATGTAAAATTCTCAAATAGATACTCCACAGCTTATGTATTAAAAGCTTCGTTGAAATCTTTCTTCCAATCTCAGAGAATGTGGAATTACAGCTTATGTTGATGATCATGACTTATATGCTAGAATTATAAAACAAAACTATGATCAAACAAATCATTCTCAAATATGTGTGTATACAAAACCAAAGTAAGTTCGTATATGTATTCATATAAGCAAAATTGAAATCATTCTTCTTGCTACTACCATTGGAATAAATATTGGAATTGGTGGTGGAGTGGTTGTTGTGAGTGTGTGTGAGAGAGAGATGACTACTCTTTACCCTTTGATTCCAACATTGCAAATGATTTAATGGACCAAATGATATACAAATTGGTGACAGTAAGGACTAAAGACTCCCTTTTGGGATAAAAAAATTTATCCTATCTCATTATGAATCTAAACGATAACCACATATAGGTCATACCAAACAAAATTATGTTACTAAATTTGGGCACACTAAATACCTTATTAACATTATAGTGATCACCAGTGTTCTGAAATCTGACTCGAGGTGTCACCAAGTCAAAGGGTCGAGTCTTGAGTTGACTGGTCTGACCAGTTAAATCGGTGATCCAACATGTTTGAAATCTTGCAAACACACGCCTAATAAATTCACAAGTCCCTGTAGGTTTGAAATCCAGCAAACACACCCCTATGCTATGATCACACAGTTAGGGTTTTGATTTTTTCGACTAAATTCTGGCTGATTCTGATGATAAAAATTCAATCAGACATCACCACCTGAACCATCAGCTTCACTCTACAAAACCCCTCTAACCTCAACACTTGGTAGCCCCCTATTTGCCGGTTGTGATTCGTGTATACTGCCACGATTGCGTTTACTTTTCCGACCAAATTCTGGTTGATTCTAGCACCCAAAATTCAATCAGACACCACCCCTTGAACAATTGACCTATACTCTATAAAACTTCTCTAACACCAACAGTTGTAGCCTCTCGTTCATTGGCGATCAAGTTAGGGATTTTGGAAATAGTTGAAAGCAATAAACTGGCTCGGAGAAGGCCCCAGGTCCCAACCTGACTAGTTAAATTGGCTGGGTCAAGCCGGGTTTTAGAATAGTGGTGATCACTAAATAAATGGGTATACACAAAATGTTTATGTATATTTGACATTAATCATTTTTAATTCTACTTTTCTTATAAAAGTCTAGGGATGATTATGCAAATCCACCAAATGCGGAAATGAATACAACATTATAGTCTTACTTCTTGATTAAGTTTATAACAAAATATATTGCTCGTAAGGAATTACGTTAAAGTTAGTAACTATAAGAATTAGCTTATGCAATAAAATATCAGACAATAAAAATGTTCATAATTAATTAAATTCTTTTAGGGTCATATGCATATAATTAATGAAAACCTTCGCAGCTTATTGAATATTCAGTGAGCTCTTGATCCATAACTTTGGAGTTGTAAAAAATCATTCACCCATTTAAATGATGGTGCAATTAATTGCCTATCTGCCCTGAAATCCGATGGGAATGTCTATAAATATGTGAGGAATTTTATATTACTTGGTTGGGAATTAAGATGCAACTACTATAAGAAATTAATTAAACAAACTCTGGTATTTCTGCTTATAAAAATTAAAAATTAAAGTGTTTTCTACTTCCGTTGACAAAATGAAGTTTTATAAAAACATGATTTTGTAATCAAAACGTTTTCTAGATATAGTTAATGAACTTATTCCAATATTCTAGAAGTTGCATCCAAGGTTCTAAGACCCGGTCCGACTCAGTCGATTTAACCAGTCAGACTAGGACTCAAGGCTTTCTTCGAGTCGGGTTACCACTTTAAATTGTTTCCAAAATCTCTAACTTGACCACCAACAAATAAGGGGCTACTAAGTGTCGAGGTTAGAGGAGTTTGTAGTGTGGAGGTCGGTGGTTCAAGAGGTATGGTGTCAGATTAAATTTTGGATGTTGGAATCAACCAAAATTTAGCCAAAAAAATCAACCCAATCATGGCGGGATACGCGAGTCACGACCGGCGAATGGGAGGCTACTAAGTACCGAGGTTAGAAAAGTTTTGTAGAGTGGAGGTCAATGATTCAAGTGGTGGTGTCAAATTGAATTTTGATCATTGAAATCAACCGGAATTTTTTCGGAAAAATCAAAACCCTAACTATGCGATCAGATCATAGGGGTGTGTTTGCTAGATTTTAAACCTATAGGGACTGATGTATTAGCAAGGGTGTGTTTGAAAGATTTCAAACTTACTAGATCACCAATCAGATTGATCAACCCGACCCCTTGGCAGGGTCACACCCCAGGTCAAGTTTCAGAACACTGGTTGCACCTATCCTTTGTAAGGGATTCAGGTCTTACAAAGGTAAATTCTCAATATCCTTTTTTTTTTTTTTTTTTTCAATTTTAAAAACAAGAAAAACATTTTCTGACAACAAAAAGTAGGCAAGCTTAGTTAAATTTTACATATATGTAAACCATTTCATAGAAACAAAGGAAACCATACCAAATAAGTTAACCATGCATGCATCATATGTATATTTTTATAAAATCCAAAAAATCAAGCTAGATAATACTAATAACATGCTTATACCTTGCATAAAATTGGAAAAATAAATAAATAAATAAGCAAAAGAACATATTAGAAATGAGGAGTCAGCAGCTGACCTCAAAAGAATGCATGAGAAGGACTAAACAAATCATCAGTGAGATCGAAGATGAAGCCAAAGAAGAGTGATATGGAGGTGGAATTGAAATAAACAAATGAAATGCCATTATGCCCAAGCCTGGAAGTCGAGGGGAGAGGAAGACTTATAAGTCAATGAAGTCAACTGGAGGACAATTAATCCCTGTAGATAAGGGTGAAGTGTCAATTTTGCAATTCTCAGCCATAGGTTTCATTGGACAAAACCAACCAGCCTGGAAGATAATTCTCAGCCATAGGTTTCATTGGTCTGGTAAATGTAACCAAGTGGAGCCACAAAGAAAGAATACGACGGAGAGTAGATTAGTCAACAAAAATAAAGATTAAGCTTTCTGGTTATGGCAACAACCCCAACTAAATCTAAAAACTGTGTAAAATGAACCCTTTGCTTCATTCTTCTCTATTGGAAACCAACTACACGTAAGTTCTCTAATCTCAAAATTAGTAGTGGTTAGCACATGGTGAACTTTGTTTAATTAAAGAATTGAATTGACAGTAGCATCAAGGCTTACATAGTCGAGTCTTCGGTGCCTACCTTCTGCCCTTGTCATTGCAGTCTTATCGCTATATTTTGGTTGTTAGAGGGCAAGTTTGAAGGAAGCTCATATGTCGCTTCTTGTTCACCTCTTCTCACGAGGCCAGGCTTCTGCTTCATCTTCTCAGTTATCTGCTCATTCTCGGCCCTTTCATCAGTTCAGTACATTGTTGAATAATCTCCCAATAATATCTCAAACTTCAATATTTTCCTTTAGTAGCTGCTGAAACTGTGCTGCCTTTATGGAGTTATGATGGCATAAGCAATATAATATTTGAGTATTTATATATAATTAAAGTTTCATTGAACCTTAAGAGGTACTGAGGTAAGGCGCATGAGAACAATTTCAAATAGTAAAACGGGTTTCTCCAGTTTAATCTTATACTTAACTTCACCTGTAGCTTCGTCTTCTTCCTTGAAAAGCTGCACTTTGAAGCCACTTTGAAGCTGCTTACTCCTAACAAATCGAAGCCAATCAACTGCCGAGAGAAGAGGCTTTCTATACCTTCCCCGATGGATGGTCAGGTAAAAACGCTACTCCCCTCTTTCTTCATCCTCAACCCTAAGAACTTGAGCAGGCTGATCTCCTTCTTCAAAAGGAGGGAAAATACCGGACTCTTGGATTTGATACAAAGTCTGTTATCAACATCCGTTTTAGTTAATTTCTTTGAGAAAATTTTCATCTTTAATTAGTTTAAGAATGGAACAGTAGTATATTCAGTGAAGAAGGATTGAACGAAGACTACCATGAATTATTATTCTCATCGACTTAACTTATTTATACTTTTGAGTCTTCAAAATGAAACTTAGTAGAAAAGTCTTAAAGAGAGATGAAAAGGTAATAGGTAATTACTGGATAAATTGATTGATTATGCATATCCAATAGCCAAATTGATTGATTCCATACTTTTTCATTAAGCAACAGCCAAATTGATAGTTTGATACCACTTCCTAACGAGAGAATCTATATACCATGTAATGGGGATCTACTACATTATTTACGAAATCATAACACTTTATCACACATATATTAATTAAACTATATATATATATATATATATTCATGTTGCTTAGATGGCATTGGTGAATAGTTTACAGGAGGGATGATAACATGAATCTTTATCATTATTTATTAAATTTCTACATATTTAT